CTAATAATTACTGGCGTGATTCTTAAATCAATGACAAGGCAAAGTTTTGTCGTACCCGCAAAAATGGGCGCTGGAACGGTGACGGGTGGCGGAGGTCGCGGCGCCCACGGTTCCTCGATTCGCGGCTGTATCTGCGGGATTGGTTTCTCCGACGGTGTCAGTACACCCGGGATAGGATTAGCCTTGTGCAACATACTGACAGCTGTATGCGGGTCGACTATCCTCATGACTACCTGCGCTTGGAGCAGAGCGTAGGCCAACTGAGGATTCTGTAGGAGCATTTGACGCGCCTCGTTCGGATTGTTTTGCACGCAGAGCTTCATCTGCTTCATCAGCTCGAACATCTGCTCGGGCGGCAGGGACGCCACGGCTTTGCTGATTGCTTCTGGCGCCTTGTCCGATTGGACAGCCTCTCCATACGGATTCTCTGTGTTCTGGCCTTGCAGGAGACTCTGCATCTCCATACGACTCTTTTCCGTGCAAGCATTGTCCACGCGTAACGTTCGTCCGCCGATCTCGTATCCATTTAGGTTTCTCATAGCGCTTAAAGCTGTCTCCTGATCTTTATATTCGCAGAAGCCATATCCCTTGGGCTTGCCCGTCTCACGATCAAATACCAATCTGATTGCAATAATTGAGTATGTTAATAAATACTAGTGTCGTTTCTCTACGATAGAAAAGCTGGAGCAATTATAGGAAAAGAAAGAGATGAACTTAGAAGTTAGAGGTAGAAGTCTAATGTCCTTTTAACAGAGAAAATAAATGCATATAAGACAAGACATGAATGAACAATTATATTAGAGAACTTGTCATACAACAAGTTTACTTTCTGTAAACATTCTAGACGCTAAAATCAAGTTATTTTCTTAGAAAATTATATTATTCTAAAACAGGCTGCTAAAATTTACAGGATTTGTGTTAAATATTAAAGGCACATCAGCAGATTCGAAGGGAAATGATCTTAATCAATTCGATGCAATCAAATAAGGCGAGCAACGGAAAGTATGATAGGCTTACTTGAAGGAAAGCACCGGTCCAACCTCGCTGAAGATATCCTTCAGATTCTCCTCCGTTGCCTCATATGGGATATTCCCGACTGTAAAACGATTACATTAATACAGAGATGCGATAAGCGGCATTGCACTCTCGTACGTTTGACTAATTACTCACCGAAGACACTCCGCATGGACTTGTCCATCAGCGATTGATCCGAAATAGTTGAATTGCTCATTTTCGCGCTTTTGTTTCCGCAAGAAACACTCGACACAATTTTAATTAACGATGCACGAAGTACTCCGTTAAACACCCTCGATAACCAGACTCAACGCACTCACGCACGTACTGCCGACTAACCTAACCGTTGAAGGCGTTAACGCTCCTAACCTAAAAGGAGCAAAACCCAAAAAATATTTGAGAGAGAGAGAATGTATTTTCCGTTTTAGATAGAATAAGAGAGAAGCTTCAAACAGCCTCAAAAACGGACCCGCTCAACAGTGCTCAATCAGCTCAATTGCTCACGTTTTATTTTAAATAGAACCCTCGAACCTAACCTCTGCTAACCTACCCAGCTGTCGATTAATTGTGGAATCCGTTTTTATCCGTCCATTGACGCCTCCGTCTCCGTGTGCACGTTGAACTACGTAGTCAAACAGATATTTTCCGGCAGGTAACAGGTAACACGTTTCTGTCTCATGTTACAGAAGATCCCGCCTTTAACAGCATCCTGCCGATAAAGCAGCGTTCCGCACTTCTCCTCCCATATCCGTTTTGCGGTTACCATGGTAACTGTGGGAACGCCAAACAGATGCTCGTGTGTCACATGATATTGTTGCAAGTTGCTCCAACAATATAAACAATCCGTGCTGAATGTGACAGAATGAGAGCACATCCAGCATGGGTCGACAAGGTGCAAGAAAAGTCAGATCAATGGTAAAGCTTATGCGGATCGACAGTTGTCTCTTCGGCAATTTATAAATTGATCTGTGTGAATGCTCCGAATGAGAACGCGAGGAATGAGGATGCTGTGGAATGCTAAGATGCATAATGCGCAAATTGCTTTATTGATCTTTCATGAAACGAGCAGTCAAATAAAATTATAAGAAAATGTAATATTAATTGCATAATTTATTATCCATTTATGTATGATACATGTTTCTGATAACAAAATATATATTTCTGATTCTATATTTTGCTAGTTCCTGTTTTGCAAAGGTTTAAACTGTCTATTAAGATAAACGCTGTTCTTTTTTACGTTTTAACATTCACTGACATCCTTGTTCTTCACGTTCTCTCTCGATACTGCTTATTAATAAGGTGATGTTGTTTCAGTATATATGACCTTTGTTTCAATCCGGATGGCACGCAATTGGTTGTCGCCTCCGGCAATCAGGTTCTTGTGTATGAGACCAACGATGGTGCTTTGATTCAATCATTAAAAGGTGATTGTCTAAAGGATTTCAACGTTTAAAACGTATTCTGTATTTTTTAAATGTAATCTCGTCTTTTTGTATCTTAGGGCACAAAGACACGGTATATTGCGTATGCTATGCGAAGGATGGTAAGAAGTTTGCGTCAGGTGGAGCAGACAAAAGTGTCATCATCTGGACCTCCAAGCTGGAAGGGATATTAAAATATTCGTACGTTCCATATTTATGATTCTAATAAATGTGAACCTTTGATTGCATAATTTTTCTTTGCTCAGACACAATGAGGCAGTACAATCGATGCATTTTAATCCCGTCTCACATCAGCTACTCAGCTGTTCACTCTCAGACATCGCCTTTTGGTCCGTGGAACAGAAAGCTGTGCAGAAGCACAAGTCTGGGGGGAGAGTCAATTGCTGTGCGTGGACAAGGGACGGACAGTACTTAGCCCTTGGTCTCGCAACTGGATATGTATCTATAAGAAACAAAGTATGTTACTCATTTCGTCTATATAATTTTTTAAATTATATGTTTTTAAATATTCTTAATATGTCTAATAAAAAATATGTATATGTAACATACGTGTCTCGTCACGTTGTTCTAAACTAATCTAAGTAAATCATATGTATTTTTCAGAATGGCGAGGAAAAAACGCGCATTGAACGGCAAATCGGAGTACCAATTTGGAGTTTATCGTGGAATCCTTTACAGTACGTACAGTACAATCTTACATATTAGAGATATAATTATCATATAGGATAATAATAAGAAGCAGAAGAGATAAAAACATTTTATTGATATTCACTCAGGGACGATGCTACAGACGTTCTCTGCATCGCTGAATGGAATGGAGTCATCTCGTTTTACACTATTGGTGGGGAAGCTATCAGAAGAGAGAGATCGTTCAGTTTTATACCGCTTAAAGTCACTCACTTCCCAGAAGGCCAATACCTCCTTGTTTGCGGTAGCAATAAACAGTGCCTGTTGATGACACACGACGGCATACAATTGGTCAATGTAGGTGGTACCTTCTCGTCGTGGGTATGGAGCTGTGCCGTTCATCCAAGCGCTACGCATATTGTAAGATATGGCATGTTACTTATGACATTATTTGTTTTAGTGATCCACTATTTAGCGATTACTTGCAGGCACTCGGTTCCCAAGACGGAACGATAACGTATCTACAGCTATCCTGGAACGTCGTGCACGGTCTGTACGGCGACAGATACGCGTACCGAGAGAACATGACCGACGTGATAATACAGCATTTGATCACGAATCAGAAAGTTCGAATTAAATGTAAAGATCTGGTGAGTGCAACATCGGCGAAACAATTTAAAATGATTAAATAACTTTATTATAAAAGGTACGGTGTTATTATATTCAAATAATATTTCAGGTATGTCGAATTGCGGTGTATCGAAACAGACTAGCCGTGCAATTGTCCGAGCGTGTAATTATCTACGAACCGTCTAGCGCCGGCGACGGAATGCATTACAAGATACGAGACAAGCTTAATCAGACGTTGAACTGCAATCTACTGGTCGTCACGTCGAACCACTTGGTTTTATGCCTGGAAAGACGTCTGCAGAGTCTCTCCTTCGCCGGGATAATAGAGAGAGAATGGATACTCGACGGACTTATCACTTACATCAAAGTAGCGGGTGGTCCCGCCGGGCAGGAATGTTTAATAGCCGGTAAAGAGACAGTTTATTGTCTCGTTAATCATGATAAATCAGTAGTCGTAACATAAATTTGGCACTAGGTCTGAAGAGCGGGCACGTGATGAAGATATATCTCGACAATCCGTTTCCCGCGCACGTCGCCAAAATCGAGGATTCCGTGAGATGCTTGGACATCAGCTCCTTGAAGGAGAAGATGGCAGTGGTCAGCGAATCTGGTGTCCTGTCCGTATTCGATCTATGCACCGGCGAGAAGCTGCAGGAATTCCAGAATGTCAACAGCGTCGCGTTCAACATCGCCTTTGAAGATATCATGTGCTTCGCGGGCAACAACTACCTTGCGATTAAAGTTGCGAATTTCTCCGAGTACAGGCAGAAGTTCTCCGGCTTCGTCGTAGGACACAACGGCTCGAAGCTGTACTGCTTGAACGGCTCGTCCATCGTGACGACAGAGGTAAGCCGTCGCGATGTTGCGCAAAATGACAAAAGAAAAGAACGCGACATTAATATACTTTAATGCTTGTAGGTGCCACTGTCGTTGTTCATGTATCAATATCTAGATATCGGATTGTACGGCCACGCTTATGACATAGCGTGCTTGGGTGTAGCCGAATCGGACTGGCTCGCTTTGGGCACGGCATGCCTGGACAATCTGGAATTGAACATCGCGTACTCGGCGTTCGCGCGAGTGAAGAAGCTGCGTTACATAGAGATCGTGTCCGAGGTGGAGGAGAAATTAAAGTCGGGCGAATGGGGACGGGAGGCGTGCATGGCCACTGCCGCAGCCGCCATGGGTAGACTTCGCGACGCGGCGAAGCTTTATCAGAAAGCCGGTTTGCAGCAATACGCCCTGGATATGTATTCCGACTTGCGTATGTTTGACATCGCTCAGGAATTTATTGCCTCCGGCAACACGCAGGTCCGTTTATAATCGATATATAATATTAAATCCAAACTTAGTGCATAAAAAGTATAATAAAGCAAATTAATGAAACTAACAGGATAATAAATGATTGGATAATATTTATTAGACATTTATTAGACACATATTACATAGATATTTATTAGATATTGGGTTTAACAATTTATTTGAATTATCAGGATCGTACAGTATTATTGCGACGACGAGCGGAATGGGCGAAGAGCTTGGGCGAACCGCGCGCAGCGGCCGAAATGTTCCTCTCCGCGGGAGACATCGATCGTGCCATCAGTATCATCGCCGAGTACGGTTGGATCGACATGCTGATCAAAGTAGGCAGACAACTGGACAAGGCGGACAGAGACAACCTGTCGATGATCGCCAAGAAACTTAAGCAACTGGGTGCCTCGCATGGCGCGGCAGAGATTTTCAGCCGGTTAGGAGACGATCCTGACGTCGCCGATGTGCTTGTGGATGCACAAGCGTGGCCCGAGGCCTTCGAACTCGCGGAAAGGAATCCGAAGTTGAAGTCACGAGTATACGGGCCGTACGCACGATGGTTGGCGGAAACCGGACGATTTTCCGAGGCTCAAGAAGGCATGGATCGCTGTTGCATCGTAACGGACACAGTGTCGAGATATTTAACATTTAATATCTGTTACAGCATTCCAAATGGCGGGACAACCGGAGGAGTCGATACTCGTACTCACGATGCTGGCTAACAACGCTGTGGTAGAGAAAAGGTTTCGCGACGCATCTTACTTTTACTGGCTCCTGTCGCAATTGAGTCTGGATCTGTCGAAGAGCGTGGAAGAGATAAAAACGATGTTTCTTAATTATTCCGACAAAGCGGATGTCTATTACGCGTATCACGAAGTATACAAATATCTGGTACGATTAATACATCAAATGTAGCGTGTTACCCGTTGTATTCTTCCTTCATAACGTTGATGTATTCTAGGAAGAACCTTTTACGTCTCTGATGCCAGAGGCATTATTCAACATTTCGAGGTATTTACTCATGAAGACGCAGAGCATACGACTGGAAGGCATCTCGAAGATGACGATAATGTATAGTCTAATGAAACAAGCGCGAATATTAGGCGCCAACAAGCTGGTTATGCAATTGTTGGACCAGTTACGTGCGATGAAGATTCCCGTGAATCTCCTAGCGCAAGTAGAGACGTCAACTTTAGCTGCCAGATCTTATCCGTATCGCGATCCGGAAGAATTATTACCTCTATGCTACAAATGTTCCACGTTCAATCCGTTAATGCCGACGAATAATGTCTCTGGCAGTAATTGCACGCAATGCGGTTTAAAGTTTCAATATTCCTTCGTTATGTTCGGTAAGTAGCGGATTATAATCCGTAGAAGTTTGAGCTTCTTGAGATTCCTGTGTGAAACTTTTCTAGAGCAGCTGATTATTAATTCCGGTATTGTTTACAGAAATCCTGCCGTTAGTCGAATTCGAATTGGAGGATGACATCACGGACGACGAAGCGGAAAAACTGATAGAGGAGCCATTACCTTCCCCCGACGATCTCGCAGTTAGCGATCAGTTTACCGTAACTTCCAACGAGGCTGACCTCTTCACCGCCCGTTTAATGAGATACGAGGTATAGTTAAATCTACGATCGCACGAAGCGTTTATTTTATATAAAGAAACGATATGTCTTCTGTAGGAAAAATCGAGCAATTCTACAGTGACTGTTGGAAGAGGAGTATTGAAGAGTATGGATCCGTCCACTGTAATAATTATCAAGTGGCCTAAGCCCTTTAAGACTAGATACTTTAGGAATCTTTTACCTGATCTCCAGATCAGCTTGTGCAAATGCTGTTTAAAGGTAAGTTGCCAGCAAACGCTATTTTAATTGATCAAGCCTTGTGAAATCCTGTTCTACATGACCGTGATGTTTCAGTTGTTTCATTCGGACGACTACGAGCTAGCGTTGTTACGACACGGGCATTGCCCGTTCTGTCGGACGCCGAACGTGACCGTGGATTAAGATAATGTGGAATTAAAAAATTGTTATAGATCAAGACGTACATATTGGACTTGTTAAAAATGTTTTAGAAATGTTTTAATTATATCTGCGAAATAAAACTGTTTTAGAAATCTTTTAATTTTTCTACTTAGGAATTTTGTACAGCACTGTGGCAATAATACATACGACTTGTTTTCTATATGCGAGACTTTTTTGCGTTATTTTCTTACTATCACGATTGTATTGTTTGAATAAATAAAGCAGGAGTACCTCACGGGCGTCGTACAGTTAAAGGAACAGTAAACCCGAGAGTTCGGCTACGTGCTAATTGCGGTGATCATTTGAGCACACATGTTCCGTTACCGGTATCCCCTGAGAGCCAGAGTATAATTCTTGAAATCTCAGTCGCATCTCCAGACATGATCAGCGTACTATTAGCCGGCTGCGTTACTATCTTGTCTGTCATAAGCGTTCAGACTATTAATTTGGATCAATCCTCGAGAGATGATGCTTCGGAGATCAAATCGTTTAATAACACCCATTCCAATCATCAGGGAAGGTGTAAGTCATTTAAAGACCAATGAGTATCAATTCAGACATATACATTTTAAACGATGTGATATCTTCCCTCAGTCTTCCCGCTATTCAGCGTCGTGCGTTTCGCTAACTCCGAATGCTTGTCGAGCATCGATCAGCTTAATGGCACGTGCTTCACGAGGCGAGAATGCATTAATTACGGCGGTAACCCGTCGGGATCGTGCGCCAACGGATTGGGCACTTGCTGCGTGTGTGAGTAGCGCAATAGGAAATATTAGAAATTATAAAATGTATCAATTTTAATTGAAAAAATAATTTATTAATTATAAAATACATGGATGTGCCTCGCGCGAATGATACAAATAACATGACAGAATTTCTACGTGTTACAGTTCAAAAGTCTTGCGGCTCCACCACCAACATGAACAACACGTACTTCGTAAGCCCGAGATACCCCATCACTTATCGCGGCGGAGAACGATGCACTATCACGGTGCAGCGCTGTAATTCTAACATATGTCAGGTAACGCGCGTACACGTTGTCAATTCCAATAAGTTGCGGTCTTAACATCTCTCACATTTGCAGTTACGACTGGATTTTCTGGAGGCCACCTGGGCCCAGCCCAATGCAACTGGATTTTGCGACTTGGACGTGTTTCTGGTGTCGGGAGGCTCGTCCACGGTGCCCCGAATATGCGGAGAGAACACCAATCAGCATGGTAAAAGGCAATTTGGAAAATTTTTTTCAGGAAAGCGAGATTAATTAGACTTGTTTCAGTGTACGTCGACTTCAATGGAGCAACGCCGATCACGATATCCGTCGACACCAACGCGGATTACGCGTTCGACCGACGCTGGAATATAAGGATTCAACAAATAGCGTGTGATTCTGTGTGCAGAGGTACGTTTTCATCATTACCTCATCACTGAGATACTTACGAAACTAACTTTCGCTTCTATTTTAGCTCCCAATGGATGCTTACAATATTACAAGACTGTCTCCGGCACCGTGATGAGCTTCAACTTTGGTACAACGGAAAATGTCCGAGGTATGCGTCAATCAATCGCAGCGAACAAAACATAAATGAACGGTTTAAAGTTTAAACGAAGATTTGTTTCAGCCCCTCAGATTGGAACGCGACAAATGGTGAATCATCGTTACGGCGTGTGCGTCAGGATGGCTCTGGGATACTGCAGTATCGAATGGTCGCAAGCAGATATATTCTCCTTTTCCGTTTCTGGAGACACGGGAACGATTGGTTCGGACATAATAGGCAGGTCATTGTTTTCCTTGAAAATTTTCTGCGTAAATCTAACAAAAATTAATTTATCATATCGGATATGTTTCGCACGATCGCAGAATATCTCGCTGTTTGCCCCAGCGTTTAATTATCACGTATCATCAACAGGTACGGACTTGGTGGCAGAATCCGGAGATAGCTGCATCAACGATTTCGTGATTATACCCGACCCGCGTGAAAATGGCGTTGCCGTTAATACAGATAGATTTTGCGGAAATGGATTTATAACTAAAACATGTAGGTAATTGTAATGCTACGTTATATGTTACAGAGGTACTATTTTTTCACTGAACTTTTCAGCGAACTTGAAGCCGTTCGTACTTTACGTCGTTACCAACGGCGATGAGGTGCAAGAGGTCCAAAACAAAGGTTTCCGACTTATGTTTCGTCAGCTGCCTTGCGCAGTTTAAGTACTACTACTATTATGAATACATACACTACATGTGAATTTTCTCTGATGGGGAAATAATATCATTTTATTCTTAAAATGCTTAAGCCCGATTTATTATGTAAATAAATAACTCTATACACATGGAAATTAATGTATTATCTACTCAAATTCACGCTACCAGAATGTGTCTCAACTTGCTCCTTCACAGCGTTGTACCAATTGCCGATGTTCGTGTGGGTCAACAAATCTTGGAAAGCGTCGCAGCCTTCGATACTTTTTAAAACGCCGTAGACAGCGAGATCGGACAGATCGGGCTTGCTGCCGCCCATGAACGTTGTACCCCGCGCCTTGATGGCACGCAGCCAGTAATTCGCCTCGTCGTACAACGATTGTCGCACGTCGTCTTTTAGCCGGTGCCTCTTCTTGAGTCTCTTTCCTATTAACCACATTGCCGTCGCACCCACGTTTACTATTAACATTTGCTCCCACGTTGGGAAGTACTCCTTCCATTGGCCGACCTACATTGAAAATAATTTTTAATCCCATTTACATAATTGTTTCCGTGTGTATTTTTTTTTCACTCTTCATAGACTCACTTCCGAGAACCAATTGAAAGTTCTGTAGGATTCATCGAGGGTTCTGTAGACGTTCGGCGAAAGAGTGTGGACGAACACCTCGTCTGCCCATTTCCTCCAATTACGTTCCTCGCTAAACACAAAAAAGTAGTAAAATGGCTATAAGAATGTTATCAATTATCGAATCGTGAATATTAAACAAATCTCACTTACGTAATTTCGTTCATCGACCTGTCCTTTGGAAGCTGCTTATTGAACATGAGGAAATACTTGTTTATGATCTCGTATTTAAAATTGCCATTTTCATCATGCATAGCCACGCTTGGGTAATAGTTAGCCAATTCCTCAATCTTGTGAGACGTATCGTGTAAGTAGGAGGCGAGAAGCGACACTATCATGGTGCTGTCATTCAAGGGCTGATAGCCCCCTTCCACCTTGGTCAAGAGAATTGGAACCTTCTTGTATGAGGACCATCCGATTTCCTTTCGCAGCACTGGATCTACCTCCACAATATCGTAAGATATCCCATAATAATCCAAGAACACTCTAACCTGGAGTATAATAAATCTCAGATTAACTTAATACAATTGATTTCAGATTAACTTAACGGATTGGCTTATCAAGTATCTGTATTGTTCTGTGAACATGGATAGAATTATTGACTTCTCGCTCGTTGAAGAAGCATTGAAGCGGAGAAGGAAAGATGAACTTAAGGACGAATTCTGCTGCCTGAAAGTTCTTTTACCTACCTTACAGCAGAAAGGACATGTTTGATACTGAAATAACGTGAGTTTCAAACCGGTGGCATCCACTGGAGACGCAATCTGGAACAGGATAAGCGGATCGTTAATGCAAGCGGAGTAACATACAATTTTTTCTCACGAGAGCGATCGTCGGCGTACCTTCCTGGACGGAGTGACAGGCGGCTTATACTTCAGCAACGTAGCCTCCAACTGCGTTCCCTCCAGGGCGATGTTCTCCCGGGCCTCGTTGATCTTGTAGTAGGCATAACCCGCGCCTACCGCGGTGCCGGTAACCGCTCCGATCACACCGAGCTTCACCAGACCGTGCGTCCTCTGCGGCTGCTGTACCATCGTGCAGAACGACCCGGGGATGCCGATGATGCCATTCTGGCTGGTGAAGTAGTACTTTTTTAGAAACCTCGCCCTTTCCGCGAACCGGGTGAGCTTGCGTGCCGCATTCATTTCTAGGTTATCGGATAAGCCTGACCAACCCTGGCGCACGGCAATGCGACACATGGATCACACGGATGAAGGACGTTGTGTAAACATATGTAGACCGTGTAGCCGTGTGCCTGTCCATGTTGTGTATGTGTTTTTTGTTTGTGTGTATGCATACGGAGTGTATACACCAATAGTCACGTACAGGCTTATGACAATGTTTTGTTAATTTATATCTTTTTTAGACTATTTTTCCATGACACCTAATGAAAGAAAAAAGAATAGAGATTGTTCTTATGCGGGAAAACGATGCCACAACGCTCAATGCCTTTAGCTTAAACTCCAGACATCAAATTGATCATAGAACTATGGTTGTTAAATTATTTCTTCGTTTAAAAAAAAATGAAAAATATTGATGAGTGAAAGTTCTCTGTTCTTTCTTCTATCGTTAATTTAAATGATATACAACAATTTAAAAGAATATATTAATAATCATGATTGGCCTATGAATCTGACTTGATACACACTGTGTATATGTTTATATAAAATACATACGTTTATTGGAATATAATTTCTTGATAAATTCGAAAGAGCAAGCAAATCAATAATAAACATAGTTGAAAAATAATTGGACACAAAATGTTACTTAGAATACTTGCTGTCCATTATTTTAAAGTGCTTGACTTAAATTGTATTCCAGAAAAGGCGTGATCTCTTTTATAACTGCTGGAAAAGCAATGAATTAAGCATCTTGTAACAGCGAATATATTTATGTATATTTGTCGATAAAACTGTTCATATATACTACATTTATTCGTACATATGAAAGTTTACATGATTATTATTTAAATATATGAAAAATACATACTCGTCCAATCTAAACGAGTCCGATATTACAGTTCTACACATTTAGTTTTATTAATCATCCTGATTTTAATTAATATAATATTCACAGTATAACATATCTAGTGACACTCGGGCAGAAAATGTGTCACCAACATTTTATAAAAAATATGCTCTCTAGTGTGTGTAAATAGCACTATTTCTCTATTCTTTTTATATTAAAAGTCCCGGCGATTTCACGTCGGATACGCCAAATGGACAAAATTCGAGCTACGCATTTAAAAATTCGTTTTATGAATACATTAAATATAAATAGATAAAAATTAGTCCGTTTAAAACTTGGTTTTTAAAGGCAGTTGGTTTCTAAAGGTTTTTAAAGGCAGTATTCATCCACTTGCGGAATATATAGCGGTACATACAAAAATATTCTATCGTTTGTTAATAATTCTTCAGGCAGTAATAAATATAGAGATTCTTTAGGCACTATTAAATCTCTGGATGTATCCCCGTTGATTCTTCCGACTGTGTTACTTTACGTCGAGTACATTTCAGCGTTTCATCTTGTCAAGGATCGGCACAACCATGTCGAAGGACGGTCGCTTGCCAGGATCCTCGTTCATGCAAATTCGAATGAGCTTTGCGAGATGCGGAGAAATGCCCGGCGGAATGCTTATGCGTAAATCTTCCAGGGCAATCTAAAATAAATTATTAGCCCTCAATTCAATGCTCAAATGAAGATCGCTATATGAAAAGATATTTTTTCTCAATTACAGAGGAAAAGTAAGGGAATCTTAATGTATCGCAATTTCTTTTTAAAGTAATTGATTATGTATTGCCCGCCCACCTTCATGCCACATTCCATAGGCGATAGATCCGCAAACGGTACTTCTCTGGTCGCCAACTCCCACAGGAGAACGGCGAAGCTCCACATATCGCTAGCCTCGTGATTGATGTCCGCTGGACGCTTGCTCAGAGCCTCCGGCGACATCCATGCCGGCTCATAAATTCGCCCGACTTCTTGGAAAGAGAACTTCGCGTCCGCCATGTTCACACGAGCTGTTAGATCGTCGTCGATCTGAAATTGAACGTAACACGATTGCACATTAAGATAAACATAGACTTCGCGGCATTCTAAATTTGCAGCATATTACTTGTACAATTAACGACCGTCCAGAACTCACCATTATATGCTTGCTGTTGAGGTGGAATCTGCATCTGTTCTGCCGATCCAAACCGTGAAGGAAAGCCATAGCTCTGGCGACGTCGAGGGCCAATCGGAGGGCACGCGCCGTGTCCACGACGACACCCATCCCGCCGTGCAGGAGCCGGTGCAAGCTGCCGCGCGTCATATACTGGGAGACGGTCGCCAACTGCGGCGGCTGATTCACGCAACCGAGGACCGGCAGAACGTTCGGGTGCGAGAAGATTCTCAGCTTCGGGAACTCCTCGTTGAAATCCCTGGAAATGCGCGCGGTACACTCGCGGATGTTCAGTATCTTGGCGACGATATCGTTGTTCTGCCATCGGCCTCTCCAGGTTTCGCCGCTCGGTGTGCTCGCGAGGTGCATATGGAGGGCCAGGTCCGCCATACTGATACCTTTGTGCCTCGAGAGAGTCGCATCTCCTGGAAAATAACGCAAGGGAAATACAACGTACACCGATACGCTTGTACGACCTTTTTTTTTTTAAGGATTTAAGAAATACTTACGACTCCTGGTCTTCAGTCCTAACCAGCTCTGATCCTTGAACTGTATCTTCTTCAAGTCTTGTCCATATTCCACTGCCAAATCTAACGAAACGAGAAATATATTCGGCGTGCGAGTGCGACGGAAATGGAAGAACTAATTCAGAATGCGCAAATCTTCGCGTACCGTGCAATCTCTTGGCCACAACACCTCTGGCCTTGTCGAGGGGAGTGTCGCCGTCCTTGTTCGCGATGGACACGAGAGCACCGGCCGCGACCAATTCTTCCGCAACCGCCTGATCTCCCCAGAAGCAAGCGTAGTGCAGAGCGGTGTTCCCATGTTCGTTCGTGACGTTTACGTCGGCACGGTTTCTCAGCAACTGCAAGTCAAATTGTACGTTATCCGCTTTACACAGGTAAATAATCCAGAACAGCGTTATTAAATTCCTTTCTCATTACCAACTGTACTATCTCCTTGTGTCCGTGCGCCGAAGCCAGATGCAACGGGGTATCGTCCCCTCTGTTGGTGGCGTTAACGCGTGCCCCTCTGCTAACTAGCAACTCTGCTAACTTTATGTGGCCTTCCTTACAGCACCAGTGAAGCGGACTAAATCCGTGATCATCTCTGCACACAGAACGACATGTTTAATAATGAAACATTTTGCCAGGAGACGACATTAAAGTCCAAATTATTGTATCAGACAATAGCGGTCAAACGTAAGTAGTTTTTCAAATATTTTGGACAGTTTTCGTTTCATTAAAGGAACAAGATCTAAAGTCACAGATAAAACGCTACATTCCATTGTAATCATATTTATTCAGTTAGTTTGATGATCGAATTCTAGACGAATTTTTAATCCATTTGTGCTTCCTGGAATACTCAGAAGACGTTTCTCATAAAGAATACTCTTTACAGAATCATTCAAATCGTCCAGCCAGCCTAATTATAGAGCCAGAGAAACCGCAACATCCGACACAGCGAGTCCTGTCCAAAAAAGGAGTTATTGGAGTAGTTACCCCTGATTGAGGTCGTGCTCCGTGTCGTCCAACCAGACACGGACCTGCATAGCGTTTCCCTCGCGACACCACTGAAATATATCCTCCATTTTCGCGCTGTTATCATGAACTGGAAGAGCCGTAAACACACAGGTGACGCGACGCCGCGAGCGAGCTATATCGAGTCGTTCGTGCTCCGAAACGGCCAGCCGTCATACGCTAAATATAGCCATGTTCCTGACACTAATACCAACGCGGCAACCTCGTTACGCACCGCGTGCGTGCGTATAGGTAACAACGATGTTATTTCTTCCAAGAGGAAGGCAAAGGAACACTTCCGAATCAATCGGAAGAGCGCATCTCGCGGATACGGCCCTCGAAAGTCGCGTGATTGCGCGCCGATTCACGCGAGTGACCATATACGAACCGACGGCGCACCGACGGCGAGACACGCACAGAAAAGTCAGCCCACACCAGTCGACATCAATGGTGCCAGAATGTGGACATTTAAAAACACGGCTCACGTGGTGGGAATACGCACACGAAGAGATGAAGGCACGTGTGTGTGTAACGTGTGCGCTCGTAGCTTCGGCAAGCTTCGAACAGTAGATGAGGACAGAGGACATCCACGTGATGTCCTCTCTCTCTTTCTCTCGCGTCATAATGCGGAAGGTATTGTTTATTGCATGATCGATATTCTATAAGCTCCGTATGTAAATTAGAATAAGATTATTTTTGTATCTTTCAATTAAAAAAAATCAAACATTGCGTATAGCCATATAATATGTGGTTGTCTTCGTCTACTGTCAGTACTGTCCGAAGCAAGCTGAAACTCCGAGCGCACACATTGGCTTCTCTTTGTTGCGTATCCCCATCCGGATTTTCGAGTGATCCGCGTCCTCGTTCGGGCCCACACCAGCTGACCAGCAGCCTATGGTGGGCGGACACCGTTATCCTCCTTTTCGCCGTGTCCGAACGAGTATTTTTAATGAAGCATTTAATGGAGCAACAGATGAGAGAACAAATGTCCTCCACGAGACGCCGTCTAGATCCGTCCTCATCCATCGCAGGCTCGTGGCAAAGCTCGTGGTTCGTTTGCCGTCGGTAAAACCTGTCGGTGTACTTCTCTCGTGCCTTCCTCCTCTCGTCCGAATCCACGCGCCTGCGTCTGTCTCGTTTCTGATACAGCTGGTTCGCGCAGACTGACAGCCGTAAGCTCATCTTGTATCCCTAGCTACCAGCGACGCGCGAGGAGTCAGCAAAAATGATGACAGGCGGGCGTCCGACGGCGATCGCGAACAGATGATCAGCGGCTGTTCGAACCATCGAACGTGCGAGCCACGTCGACATGGACGAGAACCTGGAGCGTTGCGTGAAGTCTCTGGAGGAGAATGCGGATGATGTGCGTGACGAAGCTCGACGAGCACTGCTGAGTATCTGCCGGAATGTCCTGAGATCGCCGAGCAATTACAGGTCCCGCGAGCTGCGTCTCGACGACGAGGTCGTTGTTGAGAAACTTCTGCCGGCCATCGGTGCCATGGAGTGCCTGTTCGACGTCGGCTACGTGGAGGTCTGTACTCGATCTCAACGTTCTCCCGCTTTCTCTGGCTCCGGTTATTGCTGAGACAGAAATATCATAAATTAATGATTGTACGCGTTTGCCATTTAAATTTAAATGCTATTTGATATTTGTCAAAGCTAAGCTGTCAATGTATTTATGTATTAAATGCTCCACAGGATGGAGAACGCATATTCTTACCACGAAACGCGTCCCTCTCGAAGCTCCAGAGTCTATCAAGACTGCTGTGCACCGCGACAGGGAGCAGTCCTATAACCGACGACATTGACAAGACGTCTACGGCGCAGAAGGCGTTCTTCGATGGAATCGTCGGACATTTTCGTAGTGTTATGTACTACGAGGATCCAAATCTGCAAAGAAAGGCCAAACAAGTCGTACCCATTGTACAATTAGAAATCGCAACTATGACGAAGATAAGGGATTTGCAAAAGTAATGCAATCTGCGTTCTTTATCTTCACCATGATAAAATTTATCTCTGTACGCTTACTTTTTTATCTGACGTTTGCAGATCTTTTAAGTCAGACAATACAGCTGAAGCTACCTCATCGCAATTCGAGGCAGAATTGATAGCCAAGGATTTATTCCTGATCGAGCTTCTACGCTGGTTTAAGCACGAATTTTTTGAATGGGTCAACAGCCCAACGTGCCCGACGTGCTCCACCGAATGTACGTACGAAAATGTGATACAATCTACGGATCCTCGTTGCTCAAGGATAGAATTGCACAGGTAAAATTTCTCCGACAAAACCACATTCGTATCGCGAGCATCCGTGCAAATATCATTTGTGACATTAATTCAATCTTAGATGTCAAAAGTGCAATATAGTTGTCGAATTTCCTCGTTATACGCATCCAGAGCCACTGCTGAGCCTGAGACGCGGTCGCTGCGGGGAATGGGCGAATGTCTTCACCCTTTTATGCCGGTCCTTAGGCTATGACGCGCGATTTATATGCGATGAGACGGATCACGTCTGGACGGAAGTACGTCGAGTTACCGCTTATTGGCTTCGAGGTTTATTTTATAATCGTAATCTCGTAGACGTAATTCGTTTCTTCGCTCTCAGATATGGTCGGCGTCGAACAAGAGATGGGTCCACGTAGACCCGTGCGAAAACGTCATAGACAAGCCGTTGATGTACGAAAGGGGATGGCAAAAGAAGTTGACATACATAATAGCCTATTCCAAGGATGAGGTGCAGGATGTCACGTGGCGTTATACGCGAGACCAGCAAGCCGTTATGAAGAGGCGAAGAGCCTGCTCCGAACAGAGTTTAACACATTTGCTCCAATCGTTGACCCATCAGCGGCAAAACTCCGCCGGTTACAGCCGTGCGCGTAAAGAGTACGTCGTCAAGCGGAAACTGCTGGAGCTTGCCGATATGCTGTACATTCCAAATTCGCGGAACAAGGATTCTGACGAAGAAGCCTACGAGGGACGAACCTCGGGCTCTCTCATGTGGAGACTGGCACGAGGCGAAGTCACGCAGGTACGAATATGTCTGAAACTTCAGAACCAGCAAGTTAAATTTTGCAATATAACAGCATAAAATACTTGGAAGATCTTTCGACTTATATTCTTCTCGAAATAAAATGCATATATACGAAATAAATATACGTAATAAATAGAATCATACGTTTTTATCGGTCTTGCGTTTTAAAAAATAGTTTCTAATAAGAGCTTCCGTCATTCAATCGTTGAATTCTTTTTATTAGGCCGAGGGAAAGAGTTACGTATGGGACATTTCCAAATACGGGCAAACGTTCGAGCTGCGGTACAATGTCGTTGAAGATCTATATCACGTTGTACGCGACAACGCTGTTCTGGAACGAAAATCTGGATGGCTGGAAGGGATGAACGCCACGGAGGGTGGGATCTTCCGTAAAGTGGAGAACGACTGGAAGATGGTTTACTTGGCGCGGTCGCCACAGGCGGAACGCGGACGTGTTAAGTGGACCTTCGAAATCGCCAATTCCGAATCGCGTCT